CGGAAGATTAATGGTTAGCTTACTATTTTGAGGAAGATTGGTGGTCAGTTTATTATCAGAACTGAAACACACAATCCGGAGTGAGGGTCCTCAATTCTGAGAATTTCTGTTGGCAGGATGTGGGCCCCTAACTCTGGGAATTACTATTAACAGAGCTCTCAGGGAAAGGAAGGGGTGAGTGGGTTCTCAGGGATGTTTGGTTTAGATAGCTACTGGGCTTTCTGAGAGGAGTAGGAAGAAGTAGAAATGCTGTTATGCTGGAGGGCTTGTGAAATGGACTTTGCTGCAAAATGGAGTTTTAACAAGTCATTACAAAATAGAATCATCTACTTCACAAGATTTCCATGGCCATGTAAAATTGTTGACTCATGTAATTATTTATTTAGGTGGTGTTTTTAGAGACTGGTGAAATTGTGGCCTTGAGGCACTTTAAATTTTGATCAAAATCAGAAAAAAAGAAAACCAAATACAAACCCTTGATCTGAATACACAGTACATTTTATGTTTGTTGTTGTCGTTATGTGCCATAGAGTCGGCCCGACTCATAGCGACCCTTCCTTGGGTTGCCAAGGCAGTATCACTACGGAAGTAGGCTGCCCCCCCACCCCAAAAAAAATCCCTGTGGTCATTTAAAATGAACAGCCACTTCAGATCAAAATGGGATGTGTAGTAGATGTTTGCTCAGAAACTGGCTTGAGCTCTTGCTTCAAAATTTTAAAATTATTTTTGTCTTACACATATAATATATCTTAAATTATGTGTCTGTAGCATGTGCAACTTGTTTTCTCTTGCTGATATCTTGCTTTTTCATTTATTGCTTTATTGTTAATGTTTCCCATTAAATCATAGTATTTAATAGGACACACTATTCCACAATGTGATTATATCATACATAATGTACTTTATCCAGTACCCTATTGTTATAGGGACCTTGAAATGACCCTGTGATGATGTGAGTCCCTTTCTGAATTCCATGGCTAGTTTTAGACTGAAAAGCCAAAAAATGGGCTCTCTAAAGTCAGGTGAGGGAGAGGAGGAGGATCATGCTGATGGCATTAAAGAACTACATATATACTTTAAATATGACTTACTTATGATTTTAGGAATGAGATTTAGATTTTATCTAAACTTCCAAAAGAGTAATTATGTATTCTCATAGAATCTTTAATTTCACCACAATTTGACACTTACATGTTACAAATTGAGTGTCAATACATGAAGAAATGACCAAAACAATGATTGAGTGTAATGTCTTTCTGGCAATCTCTTATATAGTTTACTTTTGATAATTTCTGTGTTAATTTTACTGTGTGGGCTTATATTCAACACTGGGTGGAGTCCAAGGCCACTAACTGGCAAGTTGGAAAAAGTTCAGACTAAATACAATGGTGGTGAATCAGGGACATCTCAGAATTTGTGTGTCCACAATTATCGGTGGTGTTCTTCAGATCGTAACGACAAAAAAAGGTTGATTTGGAGAATTGTCCCTACAAAGTCATGAAACTGCACGGGATCTCAGAGATTACCTGGTACCATTCCCAGGTTTTCTTTTATTTATTCAATGCTTATGTTTCTAAACAAAAATTTTGAGGTACTTATAACACTGAAAAGCATAGATAAAAATAAAAGCTTATATATTTACCAAATGTAAATATTTTGCTTTAGTTATTATTTTATGTATTTATTCAGGTAAAATCTGTACAACATAAAATTAACCATTTTAAAGTGTAAAATTCAATGAAATCCCTAGTTATTTTTTAGAGATATAGAACTATCACAGAGATCATGAAAGTGCCATACTCTTTCCCTGCCTCTTTGCTATTTTATGCCTTCCTCCTGAGAAGAAACCACTAACTCAAAATTTGCAGCTATTTTGTAAACTTTACTACATGCATGTACTTGTAAATAATAGATTTTTAGGGGTGGGGTGAGGTGGGATTAAAATTCATTTTAAGTTTTCTTTTGTAACTTACTTTTTTTTTCAGTAAATATCATATTTTAGAGATTTAATCACAGTGATAACCATGGTTCTAGCTAAATTATTTTGGTTGCAGCACAAATAAGATTCTGTTAATGAATATACCACAGTTCATTTTAAAGAGGTGATAAGTGGGTTCAGAATTGATACAGCATGCCCAAATTCAAACAGTTTTGGGGTTAACATAAAACTTAAAATGTTTTACTCAAAAGGTATGGTTCAGATTGTACGTTTCCTCCATGTACATCTACTCTTCTTTATCCTCCTTTGGCACACATGACAAAATGAAATTCCATGGCTGTTTTTCTCATTCTTCATAAGTGTCTCTTTTGAGAAAGTAAACAAAATGTTATGGGTATGAGATAATTTTGTGGTAACAGCATGATGTTTATCTATTAACTTATCTGTTCTATGTCTGATTATTCACCTGTGTAGTGCCCTTATCATCCGTGATTCCATATACTCACTTTGATGTTCAGTTTTTGGAGAAATTTGGGGTCACCTTTAGGAGAGAAGGTGAAACTCTTACTCTCAAGTGTACTCTGTTGGTTACGCCAGACCTGAAAAGAGTGCAGCCACGAGCTGAATGGTACCGAGACAGTAAGTACCACAAACTCACACTTAGAAAATGCTCCCATGTGAATAAAGCTACTTGTGTGCTACTGATCTTAAATTATTTGTACACAATTAATTTATAAACTTAACTGTCAGTTTGAGATTTGCCTCATCTACATCTAGTTTTTCATATAAGCTTTTTACTACCATATTAGCTGCAGATAGCAAAGCAAACTAACTGAGTATGAGAGAACTTGGTGGCAGTGACACTGACCTTGAAATTTATCCAAGGGGATTGTTGGTAAGTTAACTGTACTTAGAAGAATTGCTCAGAGATTTTTTTAATAGCTACATAAAAAAGTTTTCTATGTGATTAAAAAAAATGAGAAATGTTTAATTTCTTAAACTAACACAATAGCTGGCATTTACTAAAGCTTATTATGTTCTGGATCATAACAAATTATTGATAACATTGTGAAGAATGGGAATTCTAGAACACTTAATTGTAATAGTGAGGAACTTGTACATAGATCAAGAGGCTGTTGTTAGAACAGAAAAAGGGGATACTGCATGGTTTAAAATCAGGAATGGTGAGCATCAAGGTTGCATCCTTTCACCATACTTGTTCAATCTGTGTGCTGAGCAACTAGTCCCAAAGGTGGATTACATGAATGAGAATGCTGCATCAGAATTGGTGGAAGACTCACTAACCACATGCAATATGCAGAAAACACTACTTTGTTTGTTGAAAGTAAAGAACACGTGTAGCACTTACTGATGAAGATCAAAGACTATGCCCTTAAGTATGAAGTACCCCTCAAAATAAAGAAAACAAAAATCCTCACAACTGGATCAATATATAATAACATCACAGTAATTGGAGAGAAGATTGAAGTTGTCAGAGATTTCCTTTTATTTGAATCCACAATAAACATGGAAATAGCAGTCAATAAATCAGACCTCATATTGCACTGGGAAAATCTACTGCAAAAAATCTCTTTGAAGTGTAAAGGAGCAAAGATGTGACTTTGAAGACTAACTTGAGCCTAACCCAAGTCATGATGTTTTTAATTGCCTCATATGTATGTAAAAGCTGAACAAGGAATAAGGAAGACAGGAGAAGAGTTGATGCCTTTGAATTGTGGTGTTGGAGAAAAATAATGAAAATACCATGGACTGCCAGAGAATGAACAAATTTCTCCTGGAATGAGATGCAGCTGGAATGCTCCTTAGAAGCTAGAATAGCCAGATTTCATTTCACTTTACTCTGGTCATGTTGTCAGCAGGGACCAGTCCCTGGAGAAGGACATCATGCTTGACAAAGTGGAGGGTCAGCAAAAAAGGTGAAGAACCTCAACAAAATGGATTGACACAGCGGCTGCAACAATGGCTCAAGCACAGCAGGGGTTATGAAGTCAGCACAGGACAGGGCAGTGCTCTGTTTTGGTGTACATAGGGTAGCTATGAGTTGGAGCTGACTCAAACTCACCCAACAACAACAACAATATTATGTTCTGTACTCTGTTCTATGTATAATAATTCATTTATTTTTATGACAACCATGGGAGATAGATACTGCTATTAATTCCATATTATAGACAATAAGGAAAGTGAAATTAAGTAATGTGCTCAAGGCTTTTCTACTGGTTAGTGGCAGAGTTGGGATTTGAACCCAAGAATCTGGTTCCAGAATCTTTGTTCTTAGCTACCATGTAATATTGCCTTAGCAGTCAAAATAGGTCTTTTTTTCTATATTTAGGCAAATTTTAGAAGTAAATTTCTCCATCTTCTCTGCAATGTTGCTTCTAATGCAAACCTGCTGTCCCTGGATTTAATCCCCCATGACGTGAAATATTATAAAGAAACATGTGACTCCATTCCTGCTCATAAAATATGTATAAATTGGTAGGGGGAAGTTATACAAAATTGTAAGGCAATATCCTTTTCAAGTATAAGAAATATTCCAGAACAGGCTATGATAATTTGCCAAATACATGCATACTGGCCATATATACAAGTGAGGCTGAGCTAGTAGTTAGTGGTTTTGGAGTGATGAAGGCAAGGTTTAGGGGAAAAAAAATATTGAAAGGTGAGAAGGCTTTTAACTGATAGAGAGGAAGGAGGACTCTAGTGTGTGAAACCATGAAGGCAGAAAAGTGGATAACATGTTCCAGGCACAGAGAATATACTTGTGACCTTGTTCATAGCAGGCTAGGAATGAATTGCTGGGGCTGTAGGTCTGTAGAGGCATTTTCACCTAGAATTTGCTGTTGGAGAGGTTATAACCATGGCGTTTTTTCATGATATATGCGAAGTAGGTAGATAAAAAGAGAAAGATAGGAAGAGAGAGAGAGAGAAAAGGAGTATCTGTGGTGGCAGAGGGATTTAGCATTGTAATTTACTCTTTTCGGAGAGAAATGGAATTTTTTTGTAGTGGCTAGGAAATGCATAGAATTCTGGTGACAATTTTACAAACCTTGACCAATTTGGATGGAATATATATTGTCATGAAAATTCTTCTCATTCTGACACTTATTCTTCCATTTTTAGTTAGATACTTGTGATATTTGAGTGAGATTTAGTCATAAAAGTAGCTACACATTAGCAGTCATAATCAGATCATCACAGACTTTATTATTCAAATGGAAAGCAATGGAGACAATCCTCTTTGGATTATTTTTAGACTTTAAAATGCAAGAGGGTATTTTTTTACTATTTAAAATTAATAAGCTGAAAGTCACCAGGTGGCTGGTAAGCCCCAGAGGCAATGTCAGTCAGCTGAATGAAATCCTCTAATAGGTATGAAGAAATTGACTATGCAAACAGGAAATTTGGAATTACTGACACAATTTAAAATGGATTAGTACTCTAAAGCTATCATATTGAAGTAATCACTGAAGAAAAACTGTCGGTTACTTATAATAAAACCTAAAACTATTTTTGGGTGTGATTTGCACTTGAGACTGATTTGGTAAGTAAGGTGATGGAATGGGCCTCAATTCCAGGACCTGGTTTCTAAATACACATCCTGCTAAAGTTAAGCAGCAAATTTGATTGTGGGTTCTGTTTGGTTTATATATATTGACTACATATTTAATAATGAAAAACAGTTTTTCCTTTAGTGTGTGAAGAATTTTGCCAGAGAGAAACAAGTTTCATAAAATCCTTGCCAGAGTACTCAGCCACTGTAGGTAACTGGTCTTATTTTGGAAATTCAGATCAATTTTGGAGGTTTTCACAGACAAAGCTATGCCCCACTAAAGGGTATTTTCTGGAGTCTAATCCATGAAAGACCCACAGCCACTGCTTACATCTTTAGAAGAACACTGTATCTCAATAAACAGGATTCTGTAATTTGCAGTGAGCACCCAGTGGGCAGGTTGCAAAGCAGCTGTGAGTTCTCCTGAGAACCAGTATATCCTCTCAATTGATCTAGCACTTCTGTTAAAGATTTACTCTGGTAGTGTAGTGCCTAAGGCACTTGACTGCTAACCAGAAGGCTGGTGGTTCAAACCCATCAGCCACTCCTCAGAAGGAAGATGAGGGAATCTACTTCCATAGCGATACTGCCTCGGAAACCCAAGGAGGGGTTGCTATGAGTTGGGTCTGACTTGACAGCACATAACAACAACAACAACGTAGTCATTAGACAAGGCAACTCAAACCATGCATGCTGATATTGCCTCTGGTTTCTTGGTAAGACTTAGCAAAGGTAAAAGTAAATTTAAGTGTATTTTGAAAACACACATTTGGTGAAGTATGACATACTAGGTCCAGTGGATTTGGCAATAAATAGGACTGATACTACCTCTACCATCGTGTGTCTTGCATTTTAGCAGGGTGACGAACAAATAACACATAATTCCCTACAGCCAGCTGACAGTGACATGCACAAAGGAGGGTGGAGCATATTTTGTGAGCAGTATTAAAGGGTGTTATGTTGTCCTCCATCTCTGATCTATTCAGTCCTTCCACAAATATTTATTGGGCTCCTATAGGATGTGAGGCTCTTTTCTAGGCCTGAGAAATTAGCTGTAAACAAAATGCACAAAGGCCTTGGCTTCATGGAATTTATATCTTATGGTTGGTGATTGGTAAAAGGCTTAAAAAAAAGGAAATATATAATGTCATGTCATTAGGATCCCTAAGTGGTGCAAGTGGTTTGCACTCAACTACTAATCTTAAAGTTGGCAGTTCAAACTAAACCAGTGGTGCCATGGAAGAAAGACTTGGTAATCTGCTTCTGTAAACATCATAACCAAGAATACCTTATGGAACTGTTCTACTCTGTCACACATGAGGTTGCCATAAGATGGAGTCTCCTCAATGGCAGTGGATATTAGTCACTAATGAGAGCAGAGAAATAAAATAAAATCCTCTGACATGATGAGAAGTGAAGAGTTATTGATGAGTGAAGAATTGTGGATAAATAGACCTCTCTGAGGAGGTGATATTTGAGAAGACACCTGAATGCAGTCAGGGAGCAAGATTGATAAATATTCAGAGCATTTGAAACAGGGAAAAGAACAAAGCAAAGACCTTGAGGTAAGAATAAGTCTTTGCTTCTTCAAGAGACAGTAAGAAACATACTCCTGGAGAAAAATGACTGGGAAGGAAGGAATAAATAAGGATTAAAATACAGATGGTGAAGGCCATGGTGAATAGGTTAGATTTTATTTCCAGTATGATGGGAAGATACTGAAGATATTGAGCAAAGAACAACTTATAACATATAACTCGAAATAATGTTGTGAAAATGTCCTCTGGTTACTGAGTGGAGAATTGAGTGTATGTGTGTGTTTGCATGTGGATACTGTGGAAACAAGGATACCATTTAGAAGGCTGAGATATAATCTAGGGGAGAGGTGTTAAGGGTGGAGTTGGTGAGTAGTCGTGAGATTCAGAATTCATTTTGTTCTAACAGAACTTGCTAAAATATTGTAAGTGAGGTAAGAGTAGAAAAGAGATAAAATTATTCTCAGGATTTTAGCTTGAGAAACTAGGTGGCTGGTAATATATTAGTGAGTGGAAGAGTAGGGAGTAGG